GACTCACGAAAAAAAATTCGGCTGGCGTAGCCGACCCAGCCGACTTTATTATATTCCAGCATCCAACATCAAATTTTGTTATAATCACAAGACGTGGTGACAACACAGTCAAGTTCTTTTAAATTACATTAATGGCGCCACCAACACGGGACAATACAATACCCATTTTCACCTGAGCGAAGTGTCGTGTAAAATGCCTTTGCGCCGACCCACTCCAAACCATGATGGGCTGGCGTTCGGCTAGCGTTCTGGAGGCCATATTCTTGAATGTGTGACAGGGGCTTTACAGCTAAGCATGTCCGAACCTCCCGACCCACCCCCGAACATTTGATACATTTTGAAACATTCGACTGGCGCAGCTGAGTAGTAGCCAACCAGCCGACTCTGCTAACTCCTTGCGGGGCATTCGGCTAGTTTTCGGGAGACCAAATACTTGAATGTGTGACTGGGGCTTTAATTTGAATGGGACATTGCTTGTTCACACCCGAAAATGGAGAACTGTGCAAAAACCAAGCAGTCCATCGCTGTTTTTCTACCAACTCTTTTTATAAGGCAGACTGGTAATTTCGGCAAGGTTATGACACAATCTTTCCTCGTAGATCATGATATCTATCTCCACATTTTTAATATAGACCTATCGATATTTTATCATCTTTCATCCACTAAACACCAATGAAGTTTTTACTAATGGCCGACAGTTTGACGAAACGCATTCGGCAGTAAGTCGACTTTGCAAATATCGTGTTCAATGGTCCACAGAACATGAAACCTGTCTCAATGTCAGATCAGCCTTTCACAAACTGTTAGTCTACATTGACTCAAAACAAGTGCGGCACTACTGTGCCACTATTGTTTTCAAAACACACAAAAACACGGAACATGAAACCTGTCTCAGGTCAAATCAGTCTTTCACAAACTCTTGTTTACAGACAGACAGACAGACAGATGCCTGTATAGCAATAACCAACCTATAGATCCGTATACCCACATACACTGACGTGGGAATTGTAACATGTAACCAGGAAGGTTGCCAAGGAAGGAATACCTGGACAGGAGGCGGTAAATACAACTGGTTACGGTACGTAAGGAAAATACATGACTGTAAACCATACTAGACCCGCATGACCTCTGAAGTAAGCACTGTAATTATGTATCCAGGAAGGTTGCCAAGGAAGGAATTCCTAACTGCTGACGGGGACATAGATATGATACTTGTTTTGCTGACCATGAATATAGACCCGTCTTAACAATTTTAACTTACTTACTTACTGAGTCCTCTTCTGAGCCAGCATGGCTCTTAAGGCAGAACGTAGCTCTTCATTCTGGCCCGGTCCGCTGCCATCTTTGGTGCCTCATCGAGAGTGAAACCATGGCTCCACACTTCTTTGTCCATGGTTCTTCGCCATGTTTCCTTAACAATTTTAAAGCTGGTTTAAAATATACGTGAAGACGTCTGGCTATATGTGAGAAGGTTTTCACAGTCTTTAATGTCTCCAATATTTCCCATTATTTCATGTTGGGACAGTATACCATATTTTAGCCTAATCCATAGTTCCGCTCACAGTTGAAATTTTGCATCTAATGGAAACCCATTCAAAACCAGTGCCTTCAGAAAAAATACTAGCGATGCTACTATATCTAGGGGTGATCTTGAAAGCAATGTTTGACTCAGGGTGCATAATTATTCATCAGGGTTCAGCCTTAAAGACTTGCATTTAGCTCCCAATGACCTGAATCTTCAGCGGTTATCCCATTGAAACCCACATTCAATGTCGTCGTCATTCCCGGGCGCACGTGTCTGCGTGAGGGGAGGTTACTGGATTATATAAATGGTCCCTTTCCTTATACTATCATGAAAGTTCATCTGTGTCGGTAATTACGTGTTTAAAGTTAAAACTTTCGATCCAACACAATAAAGTTCTCTCGCCCATTTCCTTCTTAATCTGTGATGAAATTCTACAAATTTTGTTGATATCTGGAAACACAGAGAGACAGACACACGCACAAACACATACACAAACACACGCATACAAACACACACACATACACACACAAGCACGCACACAAACACACATATACAAACACACACACAAGCACGCACACAAACAAACACACACACACACACAAACACGCACACAAACACACACAGTGACGCGCACAAACACACACATAGACACATACACATAAAAAGTATGCCTCTTTTTTTCTCGGAGGTAACAATTCCAAATTTTTCATTGTTCCTAAAGACATGTACTTATCATCCAATGTAATCAAAAAGTAGGTTTTGGTGTATGTACATCGAAACCTGCTGTAGTCCGGGACTAATCTCCAAGCAGATGTTTCGATGGCCGCGAAAGACAGTATCAAATTGGACAAGCAGTATCCATTTGCCAGACAGTATCAATAGGCGACCCGGATACTGTCTGGCTAATGGATACTGCCTGGTCAATTTGATACTGTCTTTTGCGGCCATCAAAACATCTGCTTGGAGATTAGTCCTGGAGAAGTCGCTCCTATTATGTGCATTTCACAGGTGTTTCGTCAGCCTGAAATCCACCCTTGTCTTCTCCCAAAAATTAGCTCTCGGCGGTACCTATACCTAAAGAGGCTTGCTTTCAGGCTTTTGGTTCTCAAGTTAGCGGAACAAAAGGCGCTATGTCACCTCACACAGGTCATTGACACATCTAGTGACGTAACGATACACGAGACAAGCTTAAAGCGGATTAAGTTACCTCAGCGCTTGTTTATTATCTACAGTGCCGCCTTTCTACCCCAGGCAAATATCCGTTAAAACGTGTTGGCGCCTCCGAGCCATATCATTATCCAGGTTTTAGCATCTTGGTAAAACAGAACACCCACACAAAGTACCTTAAAGTTTGTTGACTTGGATACGTTCCAACCAGGAAGGTTGCTATGGTCGTACCTAAAACATTGTAACGTTATGCCATGGATAACAAGACAGGGTAATGGCACCAGTAACTTACTGAACTGTGCAGTAGCAATAAAAAATGAAGCTCTACTACAACACATACACACACACACACACACACACACACACAC